TTAAAAAGCATTTTGCTGCAGCATTCAGCCTTTAAAATTAAACCCAACAGCTTCTCTCTGTTATTTAAATGATCTCCTCCAGCTCAGAAGGGCTATGACCACGGCCTAAGTTACTTAACTCACATTTCTATTGACTGACTTGCATAAAAATAAGCCACATTAATGACTGAGCTGACATTTGGTATACATCACCACAAAACTCATTTCAGATCAAACATCATCCATACAACCTAAAAATATTTCCAGCCTTCTCGCGTCCAAGAAAAGGATTTTCAGATTTACATTATCCTCACAAACTTTGGTCTCCTGAAGCACCAGCGGTGCAGAATCAAAGGATTAAAAGAACACCAGGATTTTTATTTTATTTTGCCTCTGACTGAGTGTGTTATGTGCCAGGAGCAAGTTAACCTGTAACTGCAGTTTATCCAGCACCGTTTTCTCGTTACGTGCCAAGGATTTATGCACCCACAGACATGGGATTCCTCTCTAGGGATCAACACCGGTCACCCAGAGCAGCTCCGTGGCTCCTCCGGCCCAAGAGATCTCCAAGCACCCACTTGTTGCCTTTGAAAGACTGGATTGGACCTCATTTTTTTAATAATTCACACAGCAGCCTCAACAAGCAGGAACTGTGTCTCTTCCCATTAAAGGAGCAGGCTCGGCAGCGACCGGAGCAGCTTCCAAAAGACTTAATCCAGATCTTCCAGGGTACAACACAAATTGGTTTATCCATCCGTGCACCCTCCAGAGGCCTCTCGGGGAGGCAGGACACACACACACAGAGCCCCGGGTGTCACCTCCTGCACGGGGAAGGAACTTCCAAAGTTGAATGAAATATTTGCCAGGTGAGAGAGTAAGTCAGGGGGAAGGAGGGAAAATAATGAAACATAGTTTAAAAAAAAAAAAATGAAAAAGGCAAAAGCAACTAAATTAATGTTTTCTCGTTAGGAACTGAGTTCTCCTCCTCGGCACCCGGGAGGCGGCGGTGGGGGGGTTGTTAATTAAAGTGAAGTAAGGCAAATTATGAAAGGCTTTGCTGCAAAGCCAGTCTGTGGGAGAGGTGGGCCTGGGAATCCTCCTGGTGAAGAGGAGACCCCAGGACGGGGCAAGGTGGTGTGGCTGGAAGAAGGGGGGGACACGGGAACAACCCCATGAGGGAAGGTGCAGAAGAGCCCCCAGGAAGGAGCAGGGTGCCCTGGTCTGCTATAGGGGGTGCAGAAGAGACCCCAGGAAAGGGCTGGGAGGGGGCAAAGGGTGTCACAGGGAGCCCCCCACACACAAGGAGGGTGCAGAAGAGACCCCATGGAGGAGCACTGTGCAGGGGGGATATCACAGAGAACCCCCCAAGTTGGGAACAGCACAGAAGAGACCCCAGTGAAGGGTCAGGGGGTGTGTGTGGGGTGAACGGCACCTTCCACGCGGGAGGGTGCAGAAAAGACCCCAGGAAGGAGCAGGGCGCCCTGACCTGCTGGAAAACGAGGGCAAGACAGTGACAAACCCCCCCGGCCCCCAAATTTATGTCACCCCAAGGCGGGGCTCAAGCACCCCACGGAGGAGCGGGGGGGCAGGGAAAAAATATAAATACATAAGAGCGAAGAGGAGGCACCGTGGGGCCACGGAGGTGGAAGCGGAACCGAAAAGCCTTGGATAAAAGTTAAGCAGCGCTGGGAGCTCGGGCCCGGCCGCCCCTCCCCTCACGGCCAGGCCGGGGAGGGGGCGAGGGGAGGGGGGGAGCGGACCCCGGGCCCTGCGGCCACACACACACGGCGGTGCCGCCGCCCCGTTACCTGTGAGGCGGATCTTGATGCTGGATCCGTTCCGGCGGGTACCGGGATTCGACATCGCGCCTGGAGCAGGAGGAGGAGGACGAAGAGGAGGAAGAGGAGGAGGAGGAGGAGGAGGAGGCGGCAGCGGCGCCGAGCTCAACCGGCGGCCCCGCGCACCCCCGCCATGCGGGCCCGCCCGCTCCTCACGATGCCAGGGGGTCCCCGGCCCCGCGTGTCGGCGGCCACCGCAAGCTCGGTCACCTCAGCCCCGCGGAGCCCCCCCGAGCCCCTTCAGCCCCCGCAGCCACCGCCGCCGACGCGCCCGCCCGGCCCGGCCCGGCCGCGCACAACGGCGGCCACGCCCCCGACACGCCCCCGCGCACGCCGGAGGGCCGTGACGTCAGCGCGCACAGCGGCGCGGCCGCGCACGGGCGCCATGATGGGAAGGTCGGGGAGGGAAGGTCGGGGTGATGCGCATGCGCCAGAAGGGGTGAGGGGAGCGCCCCCTGGCGGGGGAGAAATGGAGGAGAGAGGGGGTGGGATGGGGGATATGGGGAATGAGGCGGGAATGGGGCTGGGATGGACGGGACGGGGGAATAGAGCTGGAATGGGGGGATAGGAGTGCACGGGGGCGGGATGGGGAATGGGAGGAATGGGGGGGAAATAGGGCTGGTTTGGGGGAATGGGGGTGGACTAGGGAGGAATAGGGGTGGGATGGGAAGATATAGAGGGGATGGAATGGGGGAATTATGGGGGAACGGGGGTGGATTGAGGAGGAATAAGAGTGGGATGGGGAGGAATAGGGGAGAAATGGGAGAATAAGGCATATAGGGCTGGGATGGGAGGGAATGGGGGGGACAGGGGAATAGAGCTGGAATGGAGGGAATAGGGAGTAATGGTGTGAATTTGGGGGAGTGAGGGGGCCTGGGAGTGGAATGGAGGCAAATAGGGCTGTCTGGGGGTGCAAAAGGGGTGCCTGGGGGTGAATAGGTGTTCTCGGGGGTGTGTGGGGTGCCTGGGGTTGGCACAGGGTTGAATAAGGGCTCTCAAGGGTGGCACAGAGGGTGGTCAAGCACTGGCCCAGGCTGCCCAGGGCAGTGGTGGAGTCACCATCACTGGCAACGTTCAAAGAATGAGTAGGTGTGACATTTAGGATTTGGTGGGCTGGGGTTGTTCAGCTGAAGGTTGGACTGGACAATCTCAGAGGTCTTTTCCAGCCTTTATGGTTCTCTGACTCCAAATGCTCCCCTGGGGCCAGGACACTGGAGGCTTTAATTAGAAGAATTACCTTTTTTCACGTCTCTAGAGTGAGGTTGGGCTGCCCTGAGGAAGCACTGCGGGTGCAGCACAGCAGCATCTCACCCTCCCTGCTCCCAGTGGATGCTCCATCCCATCCTATTGGGAGAAGCAGGTGCCTCCAGTCCCCCAGAGCAGAGCACCAAAGCCAAAACTGCTCTCCTGGTGCCTGCGCCCCAGGCAGGAGAGCTGGGGCCAGAGCAGGGCAGCTCCAGTGAGCCAGGCAAGCAGCTGCCTGCAGGTGCCATGCCTACCCCCCGGCAGCCTTGGTGAGCCATCAGGCACTGGTCCCAGTCCTCCAGCTGCCAGGGCAGGCAGCAGGCACATCCCAACACTCCTCAGCAGAGGGATGTGCGCTCTCCTCCTCCTTGCAGCCAGGGCTGCAAGGACGATGTTCTAACTTAGGGGCACAGCAGTGGGAAGGTCCCAGGGCTCTGTGTAAGACCATCTGTCACAGGTTTATGTCCAGCACAGGCAGGAGAAAAGTCAAAGAGATCTGCCATTTCTCTTTTTCTCTTGGTTTTAGGCATCAGAGCAGCAGCAAGGGACAGCCCTGCCTAGCCATAGGAAAAGCCACATGGGATGCTCCACACCATCCAAAGTCAGGGTGGTCACACAGACCCTGGCTCCGGTCTCTGTCTCCACTTACACTGAGGAAGCACCTTCCTCAGATTCATTCTACCCAGTGAAATGTGACCATTCCCAGGTGCCACATCAGCCCTGTCAGCAGCAGGAGAGCACACACACAGCCCAGCCACCACCCTCAGCATCAATCCCCAGGCACAGAGGGTTTCTTACAGGCTCTTTTTTCAGTTGCACATTTGGGCATTGCTTTAGTGTGTTTTTAAGGCCACAGTGTTGGATCCAGGAAGCACTTTGCATTTCAGATCCTGGCATTTTAATCTTAAAGAAGTGATACTCAGCTCTGGCACCCACAGCTGGGGCTGCACAGCTCCTCCCAGGGCACAGAGCACAGACTTTACTACCAACTCCCTGTTCTCTGGGTGGCCTGCAGGAGAAACACATAAATCCTCTGATGAGCAGGGCCAGGGTGGAAGAAGAGTCTCGGCTTCCTGAAGAGGAGATTTTCCCTTCAGATTAAGCTGCCTGTCACCTCACCTCCCACTGCAGCTGAGGAAGCAAAGCCCTGAGCCCACCCAGGGTCGTTTTGAAGAGCCAAACCCCACAAAATGGGGAGGGAAAACTGCCCCCTCATCTCACTGAGCAAAGCCTTTGAGATGCTTCAAGCCCTGTCCACCAACACTGCAGGGAGGGAGCAGTGTCCAGCAGCTTGTTGTGAACCTTTGGACTCGAGAGCCACATCAACTCCATCCTCAGCTTCTGCTCACAGACCACAGCTGGAGGGCTTGGAGAGAGGAAGGACAAGGGGCACTGAATATAATGGAAACCTGAAATATGGGGCCTCAGAATTAAAGGGCTCAGGTCTGTGGGCTCCAGACTGCTGGATGGCACCAGGGGAGCTGCAGCAGAAGTGAATCGTTCCTACTGCACCATCTGCCTCTGACAGCTTTCCTTCCAAAGGACCAGCATTTACTCAGCATCCAGGCTCCAATGCCTCTGTGGGCAAGTGAAGCAACACACAGCAAGGACAGTGACCCACCTTCCCCTGGCTGAGTTCCTTCTCTGCCAAAAGCATCTCCTCTTCTAGAGGTGATGGTGTCTGCAGAAGGGTGAAACCCTTCTCAGAGCTATTTCAGCTACTACGAGTCAAGCCTAGAAGTTTCAGGACAAGGATTTGGTGGCAAGATGCTGCTCTCCAGCAGCTTTATGGACTTAGAAGACAGTTCCCACCCAGAAAACATGCCCAGGAGCTCCAACACATTTCTGCAAGGCCTTCGGATGCAACTGGAAAAAAACAGGCCATGTCATTTGCAGCAGCACCTTAAAAGTGGGGAGAAAATAATCAAAGGCGAGAGGTACAAAGCCAGAAGTGCAATTTATTGACAAGTTTCAGAAGTAAAAAGACTCAGCATCTCTGCTTCTCATGAACTGGATGTCTGAGCTCTTTCAAAGCACCTTCACCCACCAGCTCAGAGCTGTGTCATGCTTTAATCTTCAGAAGTTGAAGTCTCGCTTCTCCACTGAGAAATCATACAGCCCATCTTGGCCAGTCTGAGGCTCCAGGTCTGAGTTTTCCTGTGAGCAAAGTGATATCAATCAGTTATAGGGTCTGCATCTGAATAAACCTAAGCTTTTTTTACAGCAACTTATTGTTTTATTTTTCTTTTAAAGAAGCTTCTTACAGCAGCTGAATAACAGAGCCCTGGGAGACCAGACCCAAGTGCTCCTGTTCCTGACAGCACACTGAAGCTGCAGTGTCCCTGCATCCCACATACAAAGGCAGCCAAGCCTATGGGCTGAGACACCAAAAGAGAAGAAAAAAAAGAGAGCCTGCAGTGGCAGAACTCACTCAAATTTAAGTGGAACAGCAACAAACCAGGACTGCTTAGGAGAGCTGTTCCCTCTGGCATTCAGCCCCTCAGGAAGGTGCTGGTGTGTGGGAGAGCTTCCCCTGCAGTCCCTCAACGGGGACATCCCACAGACCCTGCTCTGGGCAAAGGACTAAACCAGGCATATGCTCCCTGCTGCAATCACATCTAGGCTGAGCCTCAGCTCCAAGATCTGCCAGACCTTTAAGCCTCTTCCCTGATGTTTTCCCATCTGCAAGACTAAGGCTGGGACCAAGCATGGCATCTGTGACAGTCCCTGGACTCCTGCAGCTCCTAGCTGGTGTCCCAGCCTCTTTTTCCACAGATTCATTACCACGAGAAGGGTCAAGAAATCCAAATGCAACCTGAGCACTGTTATCAGCAGAGTAGGAGGCTTCCATTCATAGCGACAAGCCAGCTCAGCTCCAAAGGAGGAAACTTCTCCACATTTGGTATTCATATCAGCAACTGCAGTAACTCCAGCTGATGCCAGTTTAAATTCCAGCAGCAAAATGCTATCAAGGCACCCATGTCTGTTGTGCAACTCACAACAACTTGGAGCTTTCACAGACCTTTAGAAGCAGCTGAAAGAAGCTGCAAGGACTACTCCAGCCATGTGGAGGTCTCCTCCAAAAGCCTATTTCAGTATCCTGTTCTTCATTCCAGTGCATAACAGCTTCATATTTTCAGCTGAGAAACAGCAAAGGGTCACATACCTCACCAGAGAAGTATTTCTCTATGATGTTCAGGGCAGCTCTGTAGACTATGTTGTTCTCATGGTTTTGCAAGTCTTCAATTTTCTCCACACCATTGAGCTCCTCCAGCAGCAGACACAACTTCTCTGTCTCTCCCAGCTTCTCAGCTGCCTGTAACATCAGGAAACCAAGCAGGAAAATAGAACATTGCATCAGTAACAGGTCTGAGATGGTCTTTACTGTAATCACAACCCCGATCTACAAGTCAAAAGGATCACAGTCCCTGAATTTACAGTCCCTACCTGATGCCAGGGATATGGCTGTGGTGCCTATGGAACACCAGTCCCTGCTGGGACAACTGCAGTGGCTTGACTGCCAACCAAACCAGCTGGCAGGAGGTGAGGAGGGAACTTTAATCTTGTCAAGCCCTTGGGACAACCCAAGAACATCCAAGAACAAGCTAGACAACATGAAAACTATCTCTTACTCCAAAAATCAACAGCCACTGTTCTAACCACGCAATGTGAGCACTTGGCTCACTCCTTGCTGCTCTTTTGGGGAAGGAATTCAAGAGATAAGAGGTCTTACCAGGAAGAGATTTGAAATGGTATCCAGGATGATCAGGATAGTTTTGCTGTCCTTGGCTGAGAGCAGGTTGAGCAGAGGTTTGAGGACCCCAGAACGGACGAGCTCCACCACCTGATCCACTGTTCCTCCAGTTGTGATGTTGGCCACTACCCACACACCCTCCTTCTGAGCCTTGAAGTCACCCTGGAAAAGCAGCACAGGGAAGGCATTCCCAAACTTTATCATCCCTCCAGGATCAGTGTGAGGTGAGAATAGTCCTTTCCCTTGTACTCAGCTTGGACTGACCCCCCCTTTCCCAGCCCTTCGAGGACACCCGGCAGAGTTGCCAAGAGCAGCTCCAGGACACGTTTCCATGCAGGTGTACTGACAAGTCTGAATGCCCAGGCTGTTCCAAGGATCCCAACAGCTCTGTAACAGCCTGTTCAGGTGGCTCTTGGGGCAGAGTCCTTCACGAGCGAGGCACCACAGACTTCAGGAACCTCAGCAGAACTTCCCCATCCCTTACCTTGTCGAGCAGCTCCACCAAGGGTGGCAGTAACCCACAGGTGATGAGCTGTTGGATCTGCTGGGAAGACCCCGCTGCAATGTTACTGAGTGTCCACGCTGCTTCCTTCTGGACCCCTGGCCTCGAGTGCCGCAGGAGACGGGGCAGGACAGCCAGGACACCGGCATTGATGGCTGCCTGGGTCTGCTGGTCCGTCCCTGTGACCACATTCCCAATGGCACGCAGAGCTGGAGTCTAGACGGGGATTAAAGGAGATGAGGAGAGGCCTTACCTCAAGGGATACATGTCAGAAAGTCCAGCAAGATCCCTCACTAAGTGCTTGATCCCTCAAACAAGGAGAGCATTGTGGGTGAGCGCTGCTTATTTACAGACCTGTCTCCCTCCTGTTTGCTCTAAGCAGCTTTGGAGTCTCTATCCAGCCTCCAGCCACAGCAAGCTGGAGCAGAGCAGTGGCCTGACAGCCCTGCAGGCTGAGGGGACAGCAGACCACAGGTGCCACAGAATAAGGAGATGTGCCTTCCCTCCCCTCAGATGTTTATACATTAAAGGGACCATGGAGATTGCTGATTGTTCCCTACCATAACCATCAAGTTCATGCTGGCCAGGAGTTCCACCAGCCTGGGGAGAACCCCCGTGTCCACCACGATTTGGATGCGGTCATTGGAGCTGTCGGTCAGGTAGGAGAGAGCCCAGCAGCAGTCAGTGATGATTTCCTTGTCCTCGTGCTGTATGAGGCAGATGAGGACAGGCAGTATCTTGTGCACTGCATCCAAGGGAGGGTAGGGGTTCTTGTTCCTGCAGAGGTTGGACAGTGTCCAGGTGATGTTCCTGAGGAAGCCAACCTGAAACACAAGGGAGGTGTAAGATCCTCACTGCCCCCGAGAGCTTCTCAGTCCACCTGATGCCACCCTGTGAAGGTCCTTCTCCCCCAGAGACAGAAAGCAGTGGGACAGGCACCATTGCAGAAGGGCAGGGATAAGCCATCAATCCAGCAGTTTAGAGCTACCCAAAAAGCAGCAGAAGGAAGCTTGAAGGGCAAGTTCAGCCCTTCCATATGCATATGCAAGTCTGCCTTGCACAAGTTTCATCTTATTCCTGGGCTGAGATAGTCAAAGCTGGATAAAAAAGCCAAGACTGAAAGGTATCACATTGACTTGGAGACTGTCTGCTTGGCATCCCCAGCTTTGTGCATAGGCAGGGCCATAAAAGCAGTTTAGAGCAGGGTCTCATTCAATTATACAATCGTTAGCTGTTGTGTTTAACACAGATGACAGACCATCATTCCCCCATCACCCAAGTGATTAAGAGCTGTTAAGGCAAGAAAATGAAGGTTATTTACTGGAGTTACAGGTGACACCAGAGCCAGCAAGGGAGGAATCACATCATGATTGATAAGAACATCTCTGTAGAGAGGACCATCCCCTGTACAGGTAAAGGGTTGGTTATTGCATCTGCCTAAGTCACAAGATAGTCAACATCAAAAAGCAATCAGACCTGCAGGGCCAGGGCTGGGTGACCAGGCTCTCCCACCAGCCACACACCATTAGGCATTTCCAGGTGGGAAGGATTTACTGGGCAGGCTGGAGTGCCAGCAGGGCTGGGTGGTGGCAGCATAACCAGACACAACCCATTCTATTCTCCCTGCTGACAACATTAGGGGGTTAAACCATCCCAGCAGGATAGAGTCCTGTCCTTGGCTTTGGCCAAAATCCTCTTGCAGAGCCCACACAGGATCTCAAGGGCTGCCAGGCCACACCAAGGGGCTGAAGGGTCAAGGGGTTCAATAGGGGCAGCAGCTTGGACACAAAGCTGCAGGGAGAGAGGGCTATGGTGAGGGGCAACAATATTTTATCTGTCCAGCACTGGCTTGGTCAGTGACCCTCTGTGTGCCCCCACACCTCTCCTCACCTGCAAGGTTGCCCAGAGCCCACACTGCCTGCTCACTGATGTGCATGCGTGGGGAGGACAGGAGGGAGATGAGGGCTGGGATGGCACCTCCATCCACCACGGCCCTGGCGTGCTCCGAGGTGCCAGAGGCAATGTTAGTCAGTGCCCAGGCTGCCTCAAACTGCAGGGCAGCATTCTCAGCATGGCCCAGGAATTCCACCATCCTGGGGATGATCCCCAGCTGGATGATCTGACTGATGGGGGGGTCCTTCTGCCTGGACAGCATTCTCCTGCAAGAGGACACAGCACAGCCTGCCATGAGAAACCCTGTGTGGGGCCACCACAGCCCATAAACAGGTACCAGGTTGTGGCTTGCAGGGGAAGCATCACCTGCAAGAGATGACAGTTCAGCACCCCACTCCAGCAAACCTCAGCAGAGGGGTTGCCATAGAGAGGGAAGACACAGCTAAAGATGCTGAAGCAACAGCAGGGTCTCTGTTGGAGTGCAATACCTCACACATCCTTTCAGGACCATGATAATATTCCATGCCCCCTACCTTGCAGGAGTTTGAGACTGTGATAAAAATATATGCCATGTGTTCTCTTCCAGCCTGGCTTTGCCACTCCTGGGGTCAGGAGCACCGGCCAGCCCTGCACAGACCAGAGCTCAAACAGCTGGTTTTCCAGCTTAAAGACAAACATGTAATCTCTCCTGGACCCTCAGGAGTCATCCCTGCTTGCTGCCAGTTGGGTGATGGTGACACCCTGTAATCCTTCCTACAGCCACCACAGTGGGGACAGTCCCACTCAGCACTGACCCTTACAGAGCCAGGCTCTCCATTCCTTGGCCTGGAGGATTGGCTCTTGATTTCCTGCAGGATCCAATGTGATCCCTGGCACAGCACAGGCACAGCAAGGGGGGCAGCACCAGGAGCCACAGCAGACCCCTCAGCTGGGTTCAACCCCACAAGTCCATGCTACAAGCACTGCCCAAGACTGTGACAGAGAGAAGCATGGTACACAGGGCACACAACAGGCACCAGCTGAGGTTCCCCAGAGCAGTTTGGGTTACCAGGCTCCTTCCCTCTTTCAGTTTGGGTTACCAGGCTCCTTCCCTCTTTCAGTTTGGGTTACCAGGCTCCTTCCCTCTTTCAGTTTGGGTTACCAGGCTCCTTCCCTCTTTGCCATCTCTCTAGAGAGCTCCTCAAACAGGAATAAATGCCTTTTGCCACCAGGACCCACCACAGCTCCCCGAGCCACCTCCCTCGTGGCCCAGGCAGCCAGGCACATACCTGATGGCCTGTGTGGCCAGCAGCTGCAGCCTGGGGTTGTTCCCATTGATGCCTTCCACGATCTCCTCCAAGGACAGCTGAATAACCTGTGTCACAGGGAATGATTCACAGTCAGACGGGGAGCCGGGACTCCCTCTGGTTTAATCTCTGCAGTCAATCAGCTGTCTAGACCCGAGTCAGTCACCACTTCATATCTAAGCACTGTCTATTCTTTATGCAACACAGTTTAGAGATGAGGCAGAGAATCCACAAAAGCCTTCAAGGCAACTAATGCTTATAATCAAGCACTGAAAGAGTCCCTGACACACCATAATGGGCCTTCGAGCTCAGTAATTACCCCTCACTGTGCAGGGAGCCAGACAGGAGCTGTGCCACCTCCCAGGGAGCCAGAGCACCAGCCTGTTCTACCTGCCATCAAGGGAGGCCAACAGGACATCATCTCCATGAAAAATAGCAAAGGCAGAGGCCAGGCAGTCTGAAACACTCCCCAGCACTGGGCATGGCAATCAGGAATGGCACCAGATACTCAACCCAGGTCACACCGGCTGGACTCGGTAGTGGTCTAAGTAGGGGATGATAACTACTGCACTTATCCTGCCCAGGTGCAGAGGACCCAGCACTCACCTCATGTGCCCTGTTTTGTCCTGGAGGGACATTCTCATCCTTCACGTGAAGGGACACATTTCTGCGCTTCAGGATCTGCTCATCTTTCTTGGCCTTCCTCAGCTCAATGCTCATCTCCACCCTCTGCATCCGCAGGGCCTGGAGGGGAGAGGGGCACCATCCCAACAGTCTGCATCACCCCATTCCCCAGGGAGTTCATCTTTGCAACCTTCTGCCCCACATTTCCCACAGGAGGAGTGCAGAGAGCCAGTATCTCCTCACTGTGGCCTGGAGAGTGATGTAGGAGATGGGACAGAGTAAACCTCTCCCTCAGTGCCTCCCAAGGACATGAACTGCTGGATGAACCGACAACCAGTGGGGGTTTTTAAAACTAAATTTGCTGAACTTCAAAGGCAAACCCTCATCTCCTCTACTGGCTTAAAGCAAGCTGACAGATCCCATGGTCTGACATCCCATACCAGCCCCCGCTCCACAGGGATAACTGCTGCAGAGAGCTCAGCAGGCTGGGGCTGAGCCACCCCCTTCCCCAGCCCAGAGTCACCCACATCCCCCCTGCCTGTGTCACCACACTCCCTGCAGCCCAGCCAGCTCCACATCACATCTCAAAAGCCACCTGAGCATCCCAGCTGGCAGAGCCATCCCCCTGCTCTCCCTTTGCTACCCCATACAGGTAGATTTGAGAGCCATGGGCCTTCACGAGAGTCTCCATCTGTTGGAAAGGGGAACAGGCAAACCCCAGTGGGCTCTGCCGTGACCAAAAGGTGCTGGCACAGGCAGGTGGGTACTCACAGCTGCATCCTTGCCCTTGTTCTTGAACTTCCTCATGCGCTGCTCCTGCTTCCCAACCTCCATCTCAGCAGGGTTGAGAGAGGTGCCAGCTGAACGTCTTCACTTGCTCTTGGGCTTCAGGACAGAGCAGGGTCAGGTCACAACTGCCCAGCAGCATCCACTGCCATCCACAGAGGGGGCTGGGACCCCCCCACTCCCACCAGCAGCCTGTGCCACACATTTCCATGCCACACTCCCACCGAGGGAGATGCTGCAGGTCCCCTGCCCCAAGCAGGGCTCGGTAGGATCCTCACACACTGCAGCTGAGCCACTGAACTAAATACAGGCACAAACTACCACTTAATATCAGGCTACAAAAATTACAGCTGCTGCTGTAATCCCATGAGGAAGCCAGACACAGGCTTCCCATGGTTACAGAAACACCACCTTCCTCTGGCTCTGATCTTGGGCCTTTTAGTCTTACTTTGACACACAGCCCAAGCCTAGCAGAGCCTCTGACCTCCAGAAAGATCAGCTCAAGGACTGATTTAAGGACACAGCCACATCCAAGCTTCTCACCCCACCACACAGCCCAACCTGGCCTCCTACATCAGCACCCTAAAGTAAGGAAGACCCACAGTCACATGAAGAGGCATAAAGTGACCAAGTTCAACTGAGGAAGGAGTTCTCCTGGAAATCCAGCAGCTAGTGCAGATTACCAGGTGAGCAACATTAAATAGGGACAGGTGGAAGTCCTTTCTAAGCACCTCCTAATAAAAGCCACAGACAAAACATGAGCTGGCCTTCAGACAGCTTCTGTCAGAAAAAACAAGGCTTCCACCCAGGAGAAATGGAGATGTTTTCAGACCAGACACCATCACAGGACCCCTAAACCCAGGCTGTGCATCAACACACTCAGGGACTGATCACACACAGATGGTGCCTCCTCACCTTCCCTCCAGGCTCACAGCCAACAACTGCAGCTCAGACCAGCCTCCAAGAGCTCCCTCACACCTCATTCTAAGTTTAAGTTTTTGGTGTTTGTTTGTTTGTTTTTTTTCAGCCCTCTCTCTTTCCTGCCCCAGCAACTAAGGCTGGGATGCAGCTCTTTATTCCAGTTACTCAGCTGCACAACCTCCCCAGTTCACAGAGGGGCCAGGATGAGCCACTACTTGGCTCAAACCAACCCCCCCCCCCCCCCCCCCCCAGCCTTAACCCTGCTCCAGCCTCCCTTCCTCTGTTTCCAGAACAGAACAGAACAGCAACACCCCAAAAAGCCTCTTCTTTTGGAGGAGCCTTCTCCACCCCCATCTCAGCAGAAGAGCAGCACAACCCACCCACTGACACCAGCCAAGCAGGAGACCCAGCCCCAAACTGCCAGGAGAGCCCAACTAGCAGCCCCATCTCAGGGCACAAAGCAATAAACAACCACCCACTCCACGAGGAGGAAAAGCACTTACCACAACTCACTCTCATGCCCCACCACCCTCAACTGCCTCTTTTATTGCCCCCGTGGAGCCACGTACCCCCCCCAGCTCCCCTCCAGGATTGGCTCTTCCCAGGACAGCCCCTGTTATCTCCACCTGCTCCCTCATCATGGCCACCAGGATGCACCTGGAGGAGGATGGATGCTGATGGCTGCCCTGGGCCACCACTTACCCCTCAAGACCTCCTTCATATGCTTTGCCCACTTTGGCCTTGTTTTTGGCCAGACCCTTGGTGGGTGATGCCAGCCTGTACCTGTGCAATGTCCTGTGACACTGGAGGCAGTCTGGGTGCTGCCACCCCATCGCTGTGCAGGGCACAGGCAGTCTGGGGATGCCCCTTTTTTTGTCTGGGTAGCTTGTGGGTGGTGCTGCAGGCCAGGAGAGCAACACCCTTCAGTTAGCAGGACCCAGGACCACGGAGCCAGGGGGCAGCTGAGGGGAACAGGCTGCGGAGGTTGCAAATGAGCCAAGACAGGATTAAGAAACTTGGAGCATCATCAGGTGCTGAGCTGCTGGCTGGCACAGGCAGAAGGTGGCAAGGAGAGTAACCAAGCAGGAACCCTTTGTCTTCATGAGTCCTTTAGATTTTGGCCAGGAGCTGCTGGGCAGCTCGTGTCGTGCTGCGTTCTGTGCCCGTCGCAGTCTCCATCAGTCAAGAGATTGTTTGCATTTCACAGAAAATGCTGAATTGGAAGGGATCCACAAGGATCCACAAGGATCATCTAGTCCAACCCCCAGCCCTGCACAGGACCATCCCCAAGAGTCCCACCCTGTGCCCCAGAGGATCATCCAAATGCCCCTTGAGCTCTGTCAGCCTTGGTGCTGTGCCCACTGCCCTGGGGAGCCTGTTCAGTGCCCAACCACCCTCTGGGGGAAGAACCTTTTCCTGAGATCCAACCTGACCCTGCCCTGACACAGCTCCAGGCCATTCCCTGGGTCCTGTCCCTGGTCCCCACAGAGCAGAGCTCAGTCCCTGCCCCTCGTCTGCCCCTGCCCAGGAAGTTGTAACAGCAGTGAGGTCTCCCCTCAGTCTCCTCTTCCCCAGCTGAACACACCAAGTGCCCTCAGTGCCCTCAAGGCCCCTCCTCATCCTCATTGCCCTCCTTTGGACACCCTCTAATGGCTTCAGATCTTCTTCATATTGTGGTGTCCAAGACTGCCACAATATTCAAGGTGAGGCTGCACCAGCTCGGAGTGGAACCACTGCAGGGCCAAGCAGGGCTTGTTTGCAGCACTGCAGGCGGTTTTGGGGATCTGAGGTGTTGAAGGCCCCCTGGATCTGCACACCCTCTACTCCATCTCCCATTTAACACAGCCCCGTGAAACCCACCCCGTCCAGCTCCCTGTGTGCAGAGGTGCCAGCCTGGTTCAGCCGGCAGGGAAGGGAGGAGCAGTGCTTCCCAAGTGGGTAGGGAAAACAGCTATTACAATATTTAATTAAAACCTAATTTTAAACTACTTGACATCCTCTTTCTGCGAGGGTGGTGGGGAGCACAGAAATCCCGAGCTGCAGGAGGGTGGGAGCGAGGTGGGAACAGCACCCACCATGGGGGTCTGCACCCCTGGACCCCCACACCCTGCAGCCATGTACACAGAGCCATTTCAGACCAATTTACAGCAGTTCAGGGAACAACTAGTTCACTGTGTGGTTATTTCCAGCATGGAAATACCTATGGAGACAGTGCAACACCCGGGCTGCTTTAAGTCGTGGATTCCAATCCTGGGGGGTCACACCAATTCGGCATTTCAAGGTAAATAAAAAGAGTTGTAGCAAGCTTTGTGTGGAAGGTGATGGGGGGAGGTTTGAGAAAAGACCTTCAGACAAATCTGTGGTTTGGAGGCGTTAAAAAGCCAGTTGTGCTAATCCTGGCTGCTGTGTTTTTAAGCTTCAAGTGCCACCGGTTGCATTATCTTGTTTCTTGGCTGCTTGAGACAGGAAAATTACATTTCAATTGCTTTTTAATTCAGCTTAATCTGGTGCAAAAGTTAGCGTGCACCCTCTAATTTTGTTTTCTGAGCGGTTTGTTTCCACTAATTCCTAATCAGCCAAGACTAAATCAAAACAGGCCTGGCTCAAGCTGAAATAGATGAGTCCTTGCAACTTTGCCAAGCAATTTAATTAAATTGGCTTAAAATCCCCCCCCCCCCCCAGATAAGTGGGGGCAGCCTCCTGCACAGGCCAGCCCCCAGCTTTTGGTCCCCTGCCTGGAGAGCTCTCTCCCAAGGTGCTGCACGGTGTGAATGTGGAACAAGGCTGTGAGAGGTTCATCCTTATCCTGGACTGCTCTTTTTCTCCCCACTCCTTCCATTCCCTCTCCACCTGCCAAGCACAATCAGCCCCATCCTGTTCAGTTCTCTGTCACTGCCAGCACAAGGAGGGAGAGGATGGGGAGAGAAAACCCACGTGTCAGTGGATGAACATCCCCCCTCCCTGTCGGTTGCTCCGGTCCCTGATGGCATGAGAGGTGGCACTGCCACCCACGAGCAGGCTGAGAGTGAGGGGGGTGGATCTGAACCCGTGCTGAGGACACAGGCAGATCGATATTTAGGAAAGGGAACAACCACTGGGGGGAAAAAAGTTTTGGTTTGCAGCATAATAAGAAGGTTTCACAGCTAATGGAGAGCAAAGGAGATAAAACCCTAAATCTAAATGACAATGTCCCCTGAGCTCAGCCTAGTGTGCTCAAGCTGAAAATCCACATCATGACAGGTATGAAAAGCTGTGGTTCTAGTTCAGAGGGGTTCTTTTGACGCTGTTCTCCCACACCCTACCACCCTTCACCCCACCACTGCACCCTGGTGTGGCTCTGACTGGGGCAGACTTGAAAACACCCGTTTTAAGCCCTGAGAGAAAAACCCTGATTTTCCCTCCTCCGTTTTTTTCATGTTTCTTGAATAGGTTCACCCTCACTGCCTGCAGAAAAGACGCCAGTCAGGAAAGGTGGCATCGGTGTGTGGCATCTCTGTGGCAGGGTGAGGGGAGGCAGGAACATCCTCCCAGGATCCACTGTGGGATGCTGCACGGGCACAGCAGCTGGTTGGAGCAGCCCCTCCGTGAGAGGAGAACCTCAGCTGGTGGACAGGGAGCAGAGGGAGGGATCCCTGTGAGCCCCCAAACTTCTGCTCTCACACAGCGTCTTCTCCGTCAGCAATAATGTAGTTCCATTAAATTAACACCAACAAATTATTTTTACCTATTAGTTACAGTAACACCGAGGAAATATCCATGTGGGCTCCTGAAACAGCTGATGATGTAACTGCTGGTGGGTTATAGGATCATCCTGAGTTGGAAGGGACCCACAGTCCAACTCCTGGCCCTGCACGGGACACCCCCTGTCCTGTCCAAACACTCTGGCAGCCTTGGGGCTGTGCCCACTGCCCTGGGGAGCCTGTTCAGTGCCCAACCACCCTCTGGGGGAAGAACCTTTTCCTAATATCCAACCTAACCCTCCCGACACAGCTTCATGCCTTCACGGATGTGGGGCACTCCCAAACGTGGCAGGGATGGGGCCTGGAAATTCCTCCTTTTTCACTTGGGATCTACGGTCCTGGCACACAGTGCCGAGTCCACAGCCTGCACCGGTCCCTCCTGGAGCAGCAGACACCAGGCAGCCCGTGCCCTACCCATGGCCAGGAATCAGCTCCGTGTCAGTGCTGCTGTTGGAGCAGGAGCCGTGGGCGGGGGCTGGGATGTGGGAGCTGCTTTGTGCTTTGTCACAGGGTGAGTGACAGCCCCAGGCCGTCACAGTCGGTCTAATCAGGACATGCAGAAGGTGCGAGAAGGGATTTATTGTTATCCCTGCCTTACTGCTGAGCCAGAGGCAAAGCCAAGCACTGCAGCTGGATTTTCTGAGGCTCAAGGTGCAGCTTGTTGTTTCCTCTAATTTTGTGTAGCAGCCTCAAAAATGAGGTCCTGCTTTTCTCCTCCTCTGGTTTTCTCCCACTCCCCTGATTTTCTCCCCCTGCTCCTCTGCAGCTGGGGAGCCATGGAGATGTCAGTTCACTGAATCATACAGAATCACAGAATGGTTTGGGTTGGAAGGGACCTTAAAAGACCAACCAGTTCCACCCCTTGCCATGGGCAGGGACACCTTCCACTAGACCAGGTTGTTCCAAGCCCCGTCCAACCTGGCCTTGAGCACTTCCAAGGATGGGGAAGCCACAGCTTCTCTGGGCAACCTGTGCCATTGTCTCAGCACCCTCACAGGAAGGAATTTCTCCCCAACATCCCATCTAATCCCGTCCTCTGTCAATGGGAAGCCATTCTCCCTTGTCCTGTCACTCCATGCCCCTATCCAAAGTCCCTCTCCAGCTCTCTTGGAGCCCCTTTAGACACTGGAAGGGGTTCTAAGGTGTCCCCAGAGCCTTCTCTTCTCCAGGTTGAAAATCCCCCAGCTCTCCCAGCCTGCCTCCCCAGGATAGAAAAGAATGAGAAAGAAAAAGAGGATGAGGAGGAAAGAAGTACAGCTTTCCATCAATTTGGTTGAAACAGCTCCTGCTGTGGCCATGGGACCAACTCTGGTGCTTTTCAAGGCAAAGTGTTCTTCAGTGCCTTTTTCCAGCCAAGAAGGGGGATCACTCTGAGATGTAGGTGATGAAAAACAAAAAGAGTCACATTGATATTGTACAGAAGATATCTATATTTATTGATAGGGAAGCCTGGAAGAGTTGGGAATTCCCTGGGAACTAAGGCAAAGGGAATGTCTGTACAGGAAGACAGTAGTGTAACACCAACTGATTATCTCATCAGCTGGGCTAGAGTTGGTGGGAGCCTCAGGAAGGAGAACAGCAGCAGGGCTGAGTGTGAGCTGTGGGAGCTCATTCCCACTTTCCTAAGGCAGCTGTTGATGTCCATTTGGCTGCGCTGTAAGCGGATGCCCCAGAAAACCGGGACAGCCCTGGAGTGCCTGTAACTCCACACCAGGCTCAACGTTAAGGAACTAATTTTAACTTCTAAGCATCCTCCTTTCTGCCAGCCACGAAGGGATTAGAGTAACAGTTTTTGAAATTACTTAAAAATAACATCAGACTTAATCATAGCTATTTATTAAATCCATTATCCTCTGTCAGTTATGGGACACTGATTCAGCTGTGGAAACTATAATCACCTGTGGCCAAAAACCTCACTTTTCTTTTTTTTTCCTAAAGGGCCCCAGTAATAATTATTCTTTTAGTCCTTGAATCTGTAACTCAAGGAACTGAAACAGAGAAATCTATGGTGAATTTGGGGATGAGGCACAACAGTGATGGAGAAACCTTGGAATTACTCAAAAAACCCACATAATTTTGTATAAATCATGCATGGCCTTGCTCCACAGCACCTAGAAGGAAAAAGGCTCTCTAAAGGAGTGGAATACCTTGTAAATCATGCAGGGAAGAGAAACCCCATGAAAACACCAGAAAATCCACATAAATCATGGGGTCTTGAGCCTCTGGATGCCTCTTTGCTGTCAGGGAGTCCACGTGCAGCTTAATTAGACAAGGAGATGAGCTTTCCTGCTGCCAGACGGATGCTCACCTTGCTCCAGCACTCCTGATTATCACAGCTGAGGACAGCACTTCAACAGAAATTAGTGTCTTTGTTTAAAATGTGTATTTAGGGGCCTTCCTTTGAAAGCCATGCTCAGAAAATGCTAAAAAGAGGATTCGACATGCATATTCCACCTGATCATAGGAGCTGAAGATAATTTTTGCTAAGCCTGGAGGTGATGTTCATCTCTGTTTGAGCTGCTTCACATCTCACACAGACACTGATTTGGTAATGAGCTTCCCACTGACAGATGGCAGGGTTAGATGGGGTATTGGGGAGAAATCCTTCCCTGTGAGGGTGGGGAGGCCCTGGTACAGGTTGCCCAGAGAAGCTGTGGCTGCCCCTGGATCCCTGGAAGTGTCCAAGGCCAGGTTGGACTGGGCTTGGAGCATCCTTGTCCAGTGGAAGGTGTCCCTGCCCATGGCAGGGGGTGGAACTGGTTGGTCTTTTAAGGTGCCTCCCAACCCAAACCATTTCATGATTCAGTGATTCTACAATTCCTTGCACTGAGTGCTGTGATTGAAAATGTGAGCACTGAAAAGTTGGACACCAGGAAGACAGATTCGAACTCTGCTTTCCTGTGTGTGTGCCCTTCCCTGTAGAGTTTTTGATCACATAATTGCACAGACTGTCTCCTGCAGGATCTGTGACTCACTGAGCACCTGGTGGGATTTGAAAGCCCCTGGCATTGTCCCCATCAGACCCTCTGTGCCTCACGAACAGCGATGTGCCCTTGTTTGGTTAGAGCCTGGTCCTGTCTCCGTACAGACAACACCCCCTCCAGCCCTCACAGGAATACACTGATCCTCCCCAAGCAAGAACAGACAACAGCTGAGAATGAGGATGCAGCTTTCATTATTTTTTAAATGACTAATAAATGCAAAAACATCTTGCTGTCTCCTGGGACAGATCTTTATATAACCCTGTGATCCTTCAGCAGGGCTTTCCAATCTGGATTCCGTTCCTCCCCAGACCACCAGGGATCAGTTTGCTGCTGATGCTGAAATGCAACCCTGAAATGCAGCATCCAAACTGAATTCCTTGTTATTCCAAGGCTTGCCACTTCAGCACAACGGCTGAGGCTCTACAGCAAGCCGTCAAAAGTGGGTTTGTACCCCCTCTTCCTCTCCTTGCCCTCCTCCATTTACAAGCTCCTTTTTTAATTGGGAATATCACTATGGACACCTGGGCTGCTGTGTTTAGCCTGGTATCCCTGGCAGCACCGAGGGAGAGACCAGAGCCTTTCTTACATGTGGTCTGTATTATACAGGGGGACATTCAGGATATATGGAGGAAATTCTTCCCTGTGAGGGTGGGGAGGCCCTGGCACAGGTTGCCCAGAGAAGCTGTGGCTGCCCCTGGATCCCTGGAAGTGTCCAAGACCAGGTGGGACGGGGCTTGGAGCATCCTTGTCCTGTGGAAGGTGTCCCTGCCCATGGCAGGGGGGTGGAACAAGATGAGCTTTAAGGTCCCTTCCAACCCAAACCATTCCGTGATTCTATATGGGCTGCTCTGCCCCTTATCTGAAGACCATTTTCCAATCTGAATCATGGTTATGCTTCCCATCCCTTCAGGCAAGAGGGCTGGACTCTCAGTCTCACTTTAACATGATGAAGGAATCTGTGTCAGAGCAAGAAACTGAGCCCACACCAAAGGCAAACATCCTGCTCAGACAACTCCCTCCCGTGACCCGCTGTCTGCAGAGCCTGCTGTGCGCTGCTATCGGGACATGTCACTCCACAATCTCTCCTTCATTCTCTGAGGGAACCTTCCAAAACCCCCTTCCCAGATAATATAATCTGTGGCTGGGTGAACCAGCTGCAGCCCAGCCCAGGCTGTTGCAGCAGGAGCTACAGCGCAGTGATGTGCTGGAGCAGGCCAGGATGGGGCCTGGGCTCTGGAGACTGCAATGGCACACCATTAAACCCATCCAGAGGCATCCTAGGAAGCAGAAAGCAGTTTGGCTGAGCCCTGGCTGTTGCTGATCTGTCCATGGGCTTAGTAAGCCAACAGCTATTTCAGGTTTGCCATTTTGCCCTGCGTCCCTTCATGGGGAGATCCGATTGCTGCCTTTGCAGCCCACGTGGTCAAAACATTGATTTATTCACATTACACATGAGCAAACAGGTCAGAACCCATTACTTATTTGATGCATTTCACATCCTTCTCTAAGATGTTTGGCTGAGAACTGTTTACAGTCTTCATTCACAGATTTAAGGTTTGAAATAATTACCTAAAAAAGCCCAGAAAATACGACTTGCTCCGCACAGATTCCTGAGGAGTTAATCACAGTTCCCAGCGTTCAGGACTCGGGCTGGTCATGGTTTCTGTGGTATTATTCTGCTCCTGACGGGACATGCTGAGTTCCTAGAATCAGATTTTCAGGGTGAATAGTCAGTTACAAATTCAAGAGGTGGGTGTAACACGAACTCTCTAATTTTCACCTCAAAGCAGTTGTTTATCTGAATCTTCCTGCTTGGAAACTCTATCCCAAGTGTATTCACCCACAACACCCACAATGGCAATACTGGCAGGGTAACCACATCCCAAACACTCCAGCTGAGGCAAATATAGCAGGGAAATACCTAAAGCAGATACAGGAGCTGTTGTCTTTCATGTCTTTCAGGGCAGTTCATACCCAGCAAGTAACCAAAACGCACAAGACGGTAACACAACAACAGCTTTATCCTCTCTGCTTGCAGCAAACACACAGAATTGGTTTGTCTTAAACATGAATTATTTTAAAATGAAACTTTAATTCCATCAGTAATGTGGCTGCTCCTGCCAAGGGTTCAGTCTGAGGTTTGCCTGCCAAAGATCAGCTCTGAGGAAATGTGCTGTTCCACCCTGGCAAGAAGGACATGGCCAAAAAGGTGATTTTGAATGGAAGTTTCTTTATATTGTCTTTCTAATTCAGCCTCTTGTCCCTACTCTCCAGCAGCTGAGTTCATAGAACACCCTACGAGGCAAGACAAGAAGAAATCCCCACCAAACAAAGTATTATCTGACCTCTCTGGAGGGATCAAAGCTTCCCAATCAGGCTCCCAGCATCACTGGACTTACAGATAAGGAATGTGTGGTCTCTTTTAAGATGAAATTGCTGGCTCAGGCCCTTTGGATGGCTCTGACAGAGCCTGTCCAGCCCTTGCAAACACAATTCCAGGATCTTGGGTTTAACCTGGCAGGTACCTGCTGTGTGTGATGTGATGGCTGGGAAGAGGTGTGGGATGGAGAGCAGGAAGGGCCATGTGGCAGAAATGACAAGCAGAGGCCTGCTTGTGTAAGTGGAACCCATCTGGATTTATATTCACTGTGTTTTATAACAGGTAGGCTTGAATTCACAGGTATTTTAACCATAAGTTTATTGAATCCCACGTGATTTTGTGGAATTTCAGAGTGTTAACTCGCCCCCAGCTGTTGGCATGGTCTTACCCCTTCCTTGACCTTTGGGAATACATTCACGCCCAGCTTTTAAAAACATACACAGTCTCTGGGAACCTAAACAACACAACTGAAGGCTGCCTTCAGAGAAGCTGAGCACCAGTCACTCCTTCTGGCTTCAGACTGAAAGGCCAGAGCAAAACAGACTTTTTGTAGGTACTTTGAGTGCCAAAAAACAGGCTGACACTGAGTGAACAACTCTGAAGCTGTGAGTTGTCGTCACGCCCTGCCTCAGTTTCCCCAGCTTGGAAAGGATAGTGAGGCAAAAAGAATGGAAAGTTCCATAAAAATCTGAGACCTGCACCCAAGAAACTGTCTGATGCCAGGATGAACTATTTTGTCACCTGCATTCATCTTTTGTAGCTGTTTGGTTTAATGTTTCATAGCTCTGTTTCGGAGACCACGTCAGTCCTTGTGTTTGAGGGAGGTGACAGGTTAATTACAGACCTGAGCCAAGCCTCAAATATACATTGCAAATCCAGGCATCTAAACCCAGCCTGTCTACAGATTCAGCTGTGTAGATTGAGAGGGGAAATGATTGCTGAGCTGTTACTTTCCTTATCTCTGCCTGATCAAAGAGGAAATGGACACAGGACATTTCTCCTTCCTGCTTTCCGGGTGAAATTCATCCCAGAGCAGCAGATTGCAGCTGGCAGTGTTACGCCAGGATCTTTTTGAGCCGTGAAACCAGTTTCCAAAGGTGCAGTACTGCTGCCTTGGAGTCCTTGCACACATATATTTTTAGACCATCAAGGTTTTCAGGAGGATGGTGGAGAAATGAGATCCCCAGAAGAACCAGTGCCATCGGTGCCTCCAACCAGTGCCAAGCTGACTTCAGCCCAAGCAGTGGCCTCTAAGCCAGGTTCTGGTGGCCAGAATTCCCCTTCCCAGCCCAGGGGCTTCTCCTCCTCTCCCCAGAGTGACTCCTGAGCAGGCTGTGAGTCACAAGCCTGGTGCTCAGCATCGCTCGGGGCTGCAGAGGTGGGACAGAGAGCAGCCCTTGCCTGGGCAGTGTGTCCAACAAAGCCACAGCACAGCCCCTGCTCCCTTTAATCATGGGAGTGATGAAATCAGCTTCTCCTCTGCGGGGAGCAGCGAGTTGGGCAGGTAGGGCAGGTCCCCGGGAGGCACATCTTTGGGTGCTGGACACGCCGCTCACCAGCAGCAGCTTGGCTGTCGCCTTGACAACATTAAAGCTGGTTCAGATGTGTGGGTGGGGGAAGGAAAACTGCCTGGAGTGTGGGACACAGACTGCTCCCAACACGGAACAGGTCCCAAAAAATGCAAAGCCTTGGGACATGAGTCATGTCCTTGAACTCCCCTGCTCCCTCCCGTGGAATGGCTTTGCCACAGGTGTGCACTCAGGTTGTGACAAGGGAGAAAACCACCGAGGGCCATGGGAAGTGGATGTGCCATGGGCTCTCCTGGTAGTTTTTGATGGCTGAGGACAGGAGCTGATGAACCAGGTCCTCCCTTTCAGTCTTCCAGTGTCAGCTCCTACCCAAGCCCCTTTTCCCTGCCTGTCTGTCACTTGTTAAAGCAAATGGCAAACCACCACAATGTTTGGGTTTTCTGCTTTTCTCTGCCCTCTCTTCAAATACATTCCCTGCATTTCTTTTTCCCCGTTCATAAAACAGAGGGGGATCTTGATTTGTGGCTGCAATGAACCCACACTCACACAGAGCTCTGGGGTCTCGCAGGTGGTCTGGAAATGGGAATAAATAGCAGTGGGAGGAATAATCACAGTGTTGGCAGAGAGCATGGAGATTCCTGAGAGAGCAGCCTCAGGGATCCTGAGGCAGGTGGGGTTTCCCAGCACTTTATTTCCTGCAACCTGCAAAACCAAAATGTAGTAAAAAAGTGTTTTATCTGGGTAAAATATTGTGAAGAGCAAGTTCTCCAAATAATAAAAGAGAAATAAGCACCAATGATCAGGGAGGGAGACCTGGGTTTTTTTCTCATGATAGGAATGAGGAATGTTGTTTGGTATCAAATAGAAAGAATCTCTCCATGCTGATAGCAGCTTTTAAGACTGAGAGCAGTCTCATCTCCTTTCTTTTCCTTTTTTTTTTCTTTTTCACCCCCCTCCCGACTCCTCTATGGGGGTCAGTAAAACAATTCTGAATTTAAAGACATAAATAGCAGCTACATTTGGCCTCGCAGCAAAAATCCTGTTATTCAAGCCTTGTGGGATTCCTTCGGTGGCTTCCTATTCCTCCTTCCAGCTTCCTCACCGCCAGACCTCTGGATTGTCAAGCCCCAGCCTGTCCCTCTGCGCCTGTTTCCTCCTCCTCAACTTCTCCCCCCAGGCTGTCCCTATCCCACACACATTCCTAGCCTGTCTTATGCTGCCCTCTATCCTTGGAATAACCTTCCTCCTCCTCCAAGCAATAAACCTCGCTCCTCTTTCCCAGCTTTCTGCCTGCAGACCTCATCGTTGTCCAACCATTCCCCCGTGGGTCTCTCAATCCTGGAATATCCCAAAATCTCTTTTCTAGAAGACTGAAGGACTGAGCACAGCACTACAGTTTGCATTTGCTGTTCCTTCTTGGAACCGGGATTAGCCAGACTCCCGCCTGCCCCAAATCCACACGGCTGGACCCCTGTGGAGAGCCTTTGGCAGGGCTAAACCTGAATGGAATTGCTGCTCACAGCAGTAATTCAGCTTTTTGTGGGAGCTGACTGACAGAAAATGTATTTACTGGGTTGCTTTGGATGGTGAGAAGTGTCGAGCTCAAGTCCTCAAAGCCCAAGGCTTCAGTGTTGAGCATCCTGCTGGTGCTGACTTGTATCTGATTTTTGCAGGAATCCCTGGAAGATCAAGTCATCCAGGTGAATCCTCTGCTGGAGACCCTTAATGATGCTAAAACTAGGGGGAAGAACAATTCTTCCCATTTTTTAAGTACCAGCCCTTCATTGGTAAGTCACTGTAGATCATATAAAGATCTTCCCTCAAGAAAAAATACACCCAAAAAATATCTTCACATGCTTCCTCAAGCAGCAAAGTTAATTTCTGTTTACTTCACATTTCCCACAAAGCATTATTGGTTCCCATTTTCTTGAACTGAGTTGGTCAGTCAGTTTTGTTTTGCCTTCCTATTTTTAGATGTCAAGTTTCTGTATGTCAAATAAAAAACCAGTTTTGATCAACCCCAAATCAATGCCCTTTCAACTGATCGCTGCTGCAGTGATTCGAAATGCAGATTATTTTTAATTTTGCAGATCTTTTTTGCAGATTAATTTTGAAATTGTCAGTTTAAATGTAAAACATAGGGGTTTTCAACTGCACTCTCATTCCTGTTTCTGTGTGCTACATACTTCTGCCATATGCTGCAGAGAAAGGAGGATTTCTTTAAGCTCTAATACAGAATCCAAGAAGAAAGAGGGTTTTTTATAGATCTGATCTTTGAAAAGATTAAATTTCCTCTCACTGACTTGCAAATTTGCCCCTACAGGCAACGCTGTCTGTCCCTGATGAACGCGCAGAACCTCTCAGCTACTTTCTGTTTTCCTACAGATATTGCAATCTTGATTAACAGACTCATCTTTTATTTTCTCATCTAGGGCAAATTTATCTGAATTCACTGTGGTGGCACAGCCAAGCTGGCTGGGACTAACACTGGGAGTTGTAAGTAAGCAGATAATTCTCTATATTAACTTTGCTTGGGGTTTTCTCTTGTGTTGAATGGACCCTGTTCTGATTAAATCAGACACGTGAAAATCTGAAAATGAATTTTTGAACTGGAGGGATCTGCGCTGCTGTAAATGAAACCAAACCCTGTCCCTTCTTCCACAGTGAAGTTACACAGTGAATTAGATGATGACAAATTTATTTCCTCTCTCTTTAGCTGCCCGTGAGACTCTGAGCACACATAAAGGGCACTGCGCCTCCCCCAAAAGCTGTACACTTTTCATTCTACAGTTAT